CTGTAGCTCTGAGGGTGGTCCTGCCTCCATCCTTCCCTGCTTATCTCTGTTCTCAGTCTCACATCAGATCCTGGCTGCCTTGATCTTCTGGCCACCCATACGGAACGGTGGCACTTTCCTGGTCTGCGTCCTGCCTCCCTCGAACCTTTCTTCCGGTCATTTCCCATCTCTCAAGCTCCAGCCACAGGTATGAAGGACATAATTTTGCTTCTTTCCTAATCTCCAATCCCCCCTGGCTTCTAAGCAGAACCCAGCTTGAATTCAGGGTTCTTCTGCCCTTGGAAATCGATGGATCTCAGAGGAACCAACCCAAGCCCAGGCTGGCTACTGATTTGTCTGTTCAACCTCTTGGACAGTTCAAGTACCCAGGTGAAGCCAAGGGCACCCAACATTTCCCTAGGGGCAGTCAGTAGGCCAAAGGGATCATGTGACTGAGGAGCCCAATCAAAACCATTATTTCCTGCTCAATATGAATAAGGAGGCACATTGCTCCACATGCATACCAGGGGAAGCTATAAACAAGGGAGAAATTATAGACTGTTCTCCGGTTGGCTAAAGCTGAGTTCCCTTCCCCCAAAAGCACTCTCTGGGCTTCAACCTGAAAATAAGAGAAGAACATAGCAGAGAAATGTGGCCCAAACATTCTCTGAGCGCTGATGGAAGATGAAAGAAGAGCTGGCATAGCAGTGCTAGACAGAGTCTGATGCAGATCTCAGCCTCAATTTCATCACAAGCCTGGCATAGAGCAGCCTCTCCAAGATGCTTGCAAGGGTTTGGAAGGTGGTAACAGCAGTAGTAGCAGCAGCACTCGAAACAGATGTTGGGATAAGCACTTTCCATGCATTAGCTCCTTCAAGCCCCTAGAAATGGTGACTATAACCATCCCAGTATATGGAAGAGTACAAAGAGGCCTGAAAGGTTAGGAAAGTTCAAGCTATCATTGTATGTTTAGAATTCTGCTCCCACTGAATTATAAACACTTAGGGTTGAGAGAATGGTTTCTCTCCCATCTTTGTATTCATTAAAAGGTTATGCTAAGTCCTTAGGTGTCACAAACAATTAAGCACTCAACGACTAGCTGAAAGATTGGTGATTCAAACCCACCTAGCAGCACCTTGTAAAGCAGACCTAGCAATCTGCTTCCAGAAAGTCACAGCCTAGAAACCCTATGGATCCCACTTCTCCACACACACTCACGGGGTCTCCGTGAGTCGGAATCTGCTTGACTGTCACTAACCAATAGTCAAGAAAATGAAGCTAAAATAAGATATCAAGCTTAGTGTCTTACACATTACAGGTATACATCTAATTTCATTGTCTTCTTAATTCTATTATGAATTTAGGTCAAAAGAGTTGGGAAATATCAGATACCAGCATGCCACAATTATTAACTAAAATCTATACTTTACTAAGAATCCCTTAGTTTTTTGTTTAGACCTAATGTCCTTTTTCTGTTCCAGACTCCCATCCAGGATACCATGTGACATATATTTGCTAAATCTTCTTTGGCTGCTCTTGGCCGTGACAGTTTCTCAGATTTTCCTTGTTTCTGATGATTTTCATAGTTTTGAGGAGTACTGGAATGCTATATTGAACCATGCCCCTCATTTGGGATTTATCTGGTGTTTTTCTAGTAATTAGACGAGGGTTCTGGGTTCTTGGAGGAAAAGTGCTATTCTCACCACATCATATGAAGGACCCATACAATCTACATGATTTCTCACTGGCTGTCGGCCTCTCGCTCCACCATAAAGTTCCTTTCCTGACTGTATCATTTAGAAGGAAGCCACTGTGCATCGCACTCTGAGGGAGCAGAGAGCTATGCTCGCCACCCAAGGGGAGAATATCTATATAAAGTATCTGAAGTTATATCTAGTCTCCCTTATTCAATCATTTATTTATTCCACCATTTATATCACTTACATTTATCTTCTGCTTTGAAACCTACTATATTTTTATTTTTGCAAAGCATTTGCTCCTGGTGTTCCTGGTCTCCTGGAGGTACTCGGTAAAGTGTGGACAGTTATCTCTGAGCAGTTCACTGAGCCCAACATCTAATGAATGACAATTACCCACCCCAGAGCACTAGTGGGTGGGGAAATTGATGCTGCCACCGGACATTTAACAAATGAAAGAGGAACTATCAGGGCAGAGAGAACGTTGTGAGGACACATCACTTCATGCCGCTTCTACTTGAAATGTAGATGTGAGTCTGGGTGTGCAGAGATGTCAAGTAAAGGAATTTCCATGCAGTGTCAGCAGAACCACCCCTGACCAACTCCCAGGCCCTGTCCGTGGTGCTGCCCTGACTTTTTAATCAGCCTTGCAGATTGAGACACACAAAGCACTCGCTTCTCCAACCTGCAGGCAGTGCGGCATCTGAGAGCCCAGAGGCAGGATTAGGAATTCTCTCTATTGGCAGATATGGTGAGATGAAATGACGGAATTTAACAGGGCTAAGTGTTAAGTACCAGACTCAGATAAAAAAAATTAGGGCTGCAGGGCCACAGGCCTGATCTCCTAGACAGTTGGTTAAAAAAAAATAGGAATTGTACTACAACAAGAGAGCTAAGGGTCACAACAACCAGATGAACTCACTGCACAGTCCTGGCGAGGAAACTGGTTTGAACCAAACAGTGAAAATGGACATTTTGGGGTCAAATGTGGTCATCTTGAGTAAGCTCTGTGTATTTAAATGACATGAAAATTTAAGGAAGCAGGAAAGTGGAGCTAGTATGCTGGAGGGAAAAAAATGAGGTTACAAAGCAGTATGCATAGTATGATCTCATTTATGAAGAAAGCCTCCACATGCACATAGAAATGACTCTGCAAGGCCCCAGCCCTGTTCTCTAGGATATGGGAAGGTAATATTTTTGGTTTTGCTTGTCCACAGTTTCTCATTTTATGCAGTACACATAAGTTGCTTCTCTAATAATACATGACCGTACTTTAACAAGAAAGAAATCACTGACCCACCCCAAGGTCGGGGATCTCTGGCTTGGCAGTGGTTCCTGAGAAAGCCCTGGGTTTTGGTGCCCAGAAACGTCACCATAGTGGAGTATGTGAAACACCATTCTCTACCAAAAGGCAGCCACACCGTGAGCTCTATACTTCTATGTCAAGTGCCGGGGCTGCTGAGCCTGGGGTGTGGGGAAGGGTGTCCAAGTCCAGACCCTTCATGATATCTCTAGGAAAAGTGAGTCACACAATAAATCAATAGATTTCCAGGGTCAGAAGGCAGCAGTTTGGCCCCTGTAGGTGGTATGGAAACAGGGGACATCAGGAACTGGGGAACATTCTTAGAAGGGAAGATGCAGGAATCCCTGAGTGACACAAACAGTTCATTGCTACTAGCTGAAAGGTTCGTAGTTCAAACCACGCAGAGGTACATCAGAAGAAATCTGCTTCTGAAAGGCCACAGTCTTGAAAATCCTACGGAGCCCAGTTCCACTCTGCACACATGGGTTCTCCATGAGTTGGAATCAACTTAATGGCAACTGGGTTTTTGAGGTACATGGGAATGAGTGGGTGGGAAGGAGGTAAGTGGGGGTATGGTCGCTGATTTCAAATATTTACAGAGAGAACCATGTGAGTCCCTGTGCAGAACTGGGATGACTAAGTGACAAGCAGGTTTGGGTTCTAGAGTCTTTGAGGAAGATCAGCTATCGACAGGAGCTGTCCAGCCTTGGGATCAGGTGGCCAGGCTTGTTGGGAGCAGGCTGGCTGAGACCTGTGGTTGGCTTCTACTCGGAGTCACTGTCCAAGGTGGGGAGGAGTGTGGCTGGCCTTGGGGAGAGGAGTGGGATCATGGTTGCTGCAGAAAATGACTGTGAGCAAAGCCCCACCGAGGGGAAGGGTGGGCTATGACTCCTAGAAAATGCTTGGCAGGCTCTGACAGACTACATCATGAGCTTCCTGGGCGGGGGTATCTGAATTCTCACTCCTGAAGCCTGCTCATTCCCTTCCACCCTCTGCTCTCAGGCACTCCCAGGCCCATGCCCAGGTGCCTGTGGATAGTCCATGACCTCCCATTTGCCCAGTGGCAGAGAGGCTCAGGCCCAACCTGGCCCCTTCTCTCATGTTATAGGATGCCAGTCTTGAGCTATCCTGGAAACACCGGTCAGCCAGGACAGATTTGAGACCAGTGGCCCCAGGCTCTGCCTGCAGGGCCCAAGGCTTTAGGTGGCTCTGAAGACACTGGTCTTTTGGGGCATTTATTGATGTCTCTCAGCCCACCCCCACTGGCCATGACTACAGCCCTGCTAACAGTCAACAGTGTGCCTGCTTTTCCCAAACAGGCCTGGCCCCACCCTTGGGGGACTCTCTCCCCAAGCTTGGCTCTCACCCGCCTGCCTCAGTCAACACCACCAGCTTCCAGCCAGACCTGACCTGAACGGAGGATTAACAGGCACTAGCCAAGAATCCACGATAGCTCTTACAGACCCCTTCTTCTAAGGTGCCAGATCTTCAGGGCACTCCTAGGTGTCCCCTTCACCCCTTGGCTAGGCCCAGTGGGGTGCATGGCACCTCTGCTTCTTAGTCCCCAGAGGGTAGGAATGGGGGCGGGGTCCTGAGGCCAGCTTCTGACAGCTCCTCTGTCCTCAACACTGTAGACCCCTCAGAAGGACCAGCTCTGCCAGGGACAGAAATAGGCAGGGAGGCCTCCCTGGGTGACACCCGCAAGACAGGCATTAATGGTGGAGACCTGTGGTCCCTTAAGGCAGGAGAGAGCCCAGGGTCTGGGTTGGCACAGGCAGTCCAAGTGGGCAGGGGAGAAGGGATTTCTCCCAGGAAGGCCACCACTGCCTTGGGTTTGTGAGGTGGAGGGGCTTGCCCCGGCAGGTGGAAAAGCTGAGAAGCTCTGGGTAGAGGAGACGCAGGATGACGGCAGTGGCGAGGCCCAGCTTGCCAGAAGGCCCACCTGAGAGCCTGGGTGGGGAACCGAGGCCCCCCGGGAATGTGAGGCGCGGGTGCCCCTCCTGCCGCGGTGGCCCCCTTACCTCCTCGCCCTGGCCGAAGCGCAGTCCAAGCGCCGCGACGCGCTCCACGCGCAGAAAGCCGTCGGGATCGCGGCCGCACACCTCGAACACCTCGCGCAAGCGGCG